CGCAGCGCGCGACGATCTACCCGCACCTCATCCCGATGGTCCGCGCGGCCGTCCGCGGCCCGGGGTCGAACGCAACCCTTTTCTCGGAAGACTTCGGGGCCGGTGGACGCGGCGAGAGACAGAGAGCAATCGCGACCCCCCGCGCCGTCTCGCTCTCTCGCGACCCACCGCGCCGTCTCGCTCTCTCGCGACCCACCGCGCCGTCTCGCTCTCTCGCGACCCACCGCGCCGTCTCGCTCTCTCGCGACCCCCCGCGCCGCCAGGTCACGGCCGGCGCGCACGGCGCGTTCCTCTCCGGCGCGGGCCCGACGGTGCTCGCCATCTGCTCCGGCGCGACGGGCGCCGACATCTTCACCCAGGCCCGCGAGGAGCGCCAGGAGATGAAGGTCGCCGAGGCCATGCGCTCGGCGGTCAACGCGTTGCCCGCCAAGGCCGACCAGTGGAAGGACGGCAAGTTCTACATCTGCTCCCCGTGCATGCAGGGCGCGCACGTCGTCGCCGCGGACCCGCCCCTCTCCGACACCATGGCCACCTTCGGCACCCTCGACGGCATGCTGTGAGGGCCGACTCCGGCCGGCTTCGAGCGGCCCCCGCGGGCCGCGACCATAACAAGATACTGTGGGAGTGACAGGCCCGGGAGAATTACGCCCTCAGGCTTTCGCCGCGCTCTCCGCGAGCGCGGCGACGCTAGCGAGGGCCTTCCGCTGCTTGCGGATCTCGTCGCCCTGTCGCTCGATGAGCTCGTCCGTGTCCTCGACGTGCGCGTTGAGGGTGGCGGCGAGCTCCGCGAAGTCGCCCTTGACCTTGTCGAGCTCCGCGTCGCCCTCGGCGATGCGCTTCTCGAGCTCGACGGTCCGCCGCGTCAGCTCGATCTGCTTCTTCGCCATGTAGTCCGTGAACGCCGCGCGCGTCTCCGCGAGCAGCGCCTCGGCCTGCCGCAGCTCGGCGTACGACGACTTCAGCGTCGCGTCGTGCTCCTTCTGGAGCGCGAGCTTGGCGTCATGCGACTTGCTCAGCTGCGTCGCGAACGCGTCCTGCGTGGCCTTGAGCTCGACCTCGAGCGCGTCCTCGCGCGCCGCGGCCGCCTTGAGCGCCGCGGCGTTCGTCTTGTCCGCCTTGAGCTTGCCGTTGTGCTGGCGCACGAGCGAGTCGGCGAAGGCGAGGCGCAGCTCCTCGATCTGCGCCTTGTAGCCGAGCGCGGCGTGGAGGCGGGTTGGGCGTGGAGTTGTTTGGTGCGTGCGGACGAGCGCGTCGGTGCTGCCGAGTAGCAGCAGGAGTGCGATGGCTTTCAGCGCGATCATTTTTCGTCGTTTTTTCCTTTTTTTTTGCTAGGGAATGGTCTCACGTGCACCATAAGCGAGCGCCAACGCGAGGCGCGACTGGATGCGCGATGAGCTCGAACCTCGCTGAAGTTTGCGCTTGCAGGGGTTTATAGGGGAACAAACGCGTTTTAGCCATTGGCAGGGAGCAATCCCTAGCCACTCATTAAAATTGGAACGATACAGAGAAGATTAGCATGGCCCCTGCGCAAGGATGACACGCACAAATCGAGAAAGGATCGATACTTTTTGCTTTTTTTGGATGTCTGGACCCCGCGCGGCGCGTATAGAAGGTTTTTGGGGCATTTCAAAGTTTCGTGCGCAAACGCCGTCAAGGCGCCCACGGGGACGTTCTTTGATCAGTGCCAATCGCCCCTCGACGATCGTGGCGCCGTGGCTCCGAAAAAGGACCACTGAGAGGACGAAAATGTGCGCGCAACAGCGAGGCGCGCGCGACCCCCGGCGACGCGCATTCGCGGCACGATAGAGCGCGAGTTTGGCCGACGTGGGCGTGATCGGCTGGCCATGTCGCGGCGGCCGGCAGCCGGCGCGACGATGCTCGGCCTCCGCTTCGCCCTCGCGCTCGCGTTCGCGCTCCAGACGCGGGCGCAGGACTCGGTCAAGCCCTGCCCGCCGCCGTCCCCGACGCTGGCCTCCCGCGGCGGCGAGGGCACCTTCACGGTCACGTTCCAGAACGACATCGACGAAGAAATCAGCCTCTTCTGGATCGACTCGCACGGCAAAGAAGTCCCGCAGGGCACGATCCTGCCCCTGGCGGAGACGACGCGCGAGTCGTACGGCGGCCACGCGTTTCGCGTGCGCCAGATGGGCGGCGCGCGCGAGACGCTCGTGGAGACGGTCATGGAGGGCGCCAAGCGCAAGATCAAGATCCGCGTGGGCGCGTGCGGCGCGCTGGCCGCGATCCAGGCCCTGCCGCCCGCGAGCCCGCGCGCCGCGGAGTTCGAGGCGCTGCTCCACGACCTCGGCCGACCGTGCTCCGGCCCGAGCCGGGACTGGAGCTGCGTCCGCTACCTCCACGCCGATGATCTGCGGACCCGGGACCCGGAGGCCTACGGCATCCAGCCCAACGAGACGCACGCCCGGCGCTGGTACACGACCGTCGACCACACGTACGTCGACCAGATCAACCGCATCCCCAAGGTCACGGCCGGCCCGGGCTACGCGAAGATGTCCTTCACGCAGCCCATGCACGACGCCTTGACGGAGTGGTACGCGGCGCGCCGCCACGACAGCATGAAGCCCCACGGCGTCATCCCGGGCGGTTACACGAACAACGACCACGTGCTCATCGACAAGGTCAACCTCGACCACTTCCCGGAGACGCACGGCGCCGTGCTCCGCGAGATGCGCGAGATCCTCCAGTGGTGGACGGGGCTCCGCCTCAAGCACACGTCGACCTTCGGCGTCCGCGTCTACCGCCGCGGCAGCTCGCTCATCGACCACGTCGACCGCATGGACACGCACCTCGCGTCGGCGGTGATCCAGATCGACCAGCGCGTCGACGCCGACGGCGGCTGGCCCCTCGAGCTGCTCCTCCCGAACCGCACCGTCGCCGAGGTCTACACGCAGCCGGGCGAGATCATCCTCTACGAGGGCGCCTGGCTCCGCCACGGCCGGCCCATGCGCTTCAAGGGCGACGAGTTCGCCAACGTCTTCTCCCACTTCGCGCCGCCGGACTGGCACGGCGCCCACCGCAGCCCGTCGGAGTCGAGGGGGATGCACCACACGCGCACGCAGCCCGGCGGCGCGATCGACGGTCCATGCTACAAGACGCCTGCGGCGCTTGCCCTGCCGGGGGCTTGCCTCCGGCGGATTTGTTGTTTCGTTGAATCTGGGGGCCGGCGGTTTTCGACGGCGACTGGTCGAAGAGCCCTACTATTAGAGTTCCAAGACGATGTCCTTGTCGTCGCTGGGGGTTGCGCTTCGCGCCCTTCGGGCGACGACAGCCATTTAATTTTCGTACGGCGGGGGAACCCCCGCGCACAACTCACGCATATATATATGGACGGCTGCTGCGTGTTGACTTCATCAGCGACTCGATGAAGCACATCCGGATCCCTGACCGTCGACAGGCTTCGCCTGAAGCTCGCGATCTCGTCGACGCAGACGAACACCGGCGCCCCTCCCGCTTACCCGCCGCGGACCCGAATCCTACGCGGCGGCGGCGGCGGCCTTGGTCGCGGCGCGCTTGTGGACGAACATGCCGACGAGCTTGACCTGGTCGTCGCGGAGGTGGAGCTTGAGCTTGGGGACGAGCGCGTCGCCGAGGGCGACGTAGAGCTCGACGAGGGCGTCGACGGCGGCCTTGCGGACGTCGGCGGCGGGCGCGCCCGCGGCGCTGCTGAGCGGCGGGAGCGCCGAGGGCAGCGCGCCGCGGAGCGCGGCCGCGGGCGCGCGGCGCGCGCAGGCCGCGAGGACGCGGCAGAGCGGCGCGCGGGACCGCTGGAGGTCGAGGCGCGCGACGTCCCGGGGCGTCGCGCCCGCGGGCGGCGCCGCGTCCGCGAGGTCGGGCAGCGCGAGCGCGAGGACGCGCGCCGCGTCGCCGCGCGCGGCCGCGGCGTCGAGGACGCGCTCCGCGGCCCAGGCCAGCTCGAGGGGCACCTTGCCGTCGCGGCTCAGGGCCAACAACCGCGGCACGGCGGCGTCGAGGCAGAAGCGGAAGTCGCGCGGCCGCCGCCGCGCGAGCGTCCGGAGCGCGCCGAGCGACTCGTGCCGCGCAGCGAGGTCG